CTTCAACTCCCAGAATTCCCCAGCCAGCAAGGCTGGCTGGGGAATTCTGGGAGTTGAAGTCTACACATCTTTAAGTTGACAAGGTTGAGAAACACTGCTCTAGCCAATTCCAAAATTAAAGACTTTTGCAAACTCTTCTCCTTGAGCAAGCCCTTTAAAGACAGCTCCTCTCCTGGGCATGTTTATGATGGAATGCTTGAAATCCTTTTTCATCCACTTAAAAAAATCCATTTGAAGTATAGATTCCTTTTTTAAAAAGAGAAAAAAAATACTTAGCCTACTCCGTGGCAACTGTTTGGGACTTCTGAAAGCAGCAGGGATAGATATGTGGTCCTGGATCAGCTCTTGTCTCCGCAGAGGGACGGACAGGCCACAACAAGCTGTAGAGAATGCTTCACATGGCACTACCCAACATTTGTTGGCTCTTGGAAAGAGTCAGTTTGTTCCTTGATCTTCTCCCCAACCCCTGGGGAAATTCTGCCCCATTTTCCTCCTATCTAGTTTGAGATCCAGAGGACAGAGATAGCTGTGAACGCTCAGGATAGGGAAAAATGCCAGTTTGTGAAAATATTTCCAAAGGAGAACTTAGCAACTGTGTCTTGGTGCAAATGCAGGAGGAGGAACCATCATTCATCCTGACATTATTTTCTTTTCCGTATTTCAGATCAATTAATTCCTATGTCCAACATCACCCAAGTTACTGAGCATTTGGCTGTGATCCATGCAACTTCACAGCTTGATGACTTGCATGTCTAGGCAACTTCAGTATGAACCCCATGGAGAGGAACTCTTTTTTACTTCCAATAAACATGCATTTAGCTTTAAGGCATCAGGGGCTGATTTTAGACCTCAGTTGTTTACTCCGCTACTATAGACTCTAAATCATGGTGGGACATCCAACCCGGCCTGTTCAGCTAGACTTCTATTCAAGCAGCTGAATATCTGAGTAGATATCTTGGGAGAGCTTTGAGGTCATGATGAAACAAAAACCCTTTGATGTTGCAATACGAGGGCCATTAGAAGAAAATATTACATGTGGTCCTAAAAAGCTTATAGCAGTAGCTAGAAATACTGGAGCACATGGAACACCCACAATGCCTTCAAGTCCCCAGAATTAAATGAAAATAAATTAATTTATTTTTCTACCACTGAAAGGAGTCCTGCAAATAATTTTCCATTGGAGCAATTAGCTAACACAAACAACAGTAAAACCACCTGGAGTCAAAATGATTCAAATACAGGAATAAAATAAAGTATATGCCCCAATTTGGGAGATTCCAGGTGAGAGTGTGTAAGAGATTGTCTAAGTTGCTGAAATATTATATTCTTAACCTCAGCAGTAAACACAGATCCCTGTCTGGAAGCAGTGTGTAGGAGAACCCCTGTAAACAACCTGATCAGTCCTTGTAGGTTGTAGAGTATGTATGAACCTGATTGTACTGTGTCACATTTCATGTTCTCAGTTCTGGATCTCATATACTGGTCTTCATTTCAAGCAGAGAATCAGTATTTTCTTTTCCAAAGAAAAGCAGAGCATGTCTTGCAATAGTTGCAGGTGCAGGTAGTCCTTGTTGAGCGACCACAACTGGCACTGGAAACTTGGTTGTTAACCAAAGCGGTCGCTCAGTGAAACCGCACCTGGGCTTATGATCTTCCTTCAGTTTTCCTTTGCTTTACAGACCTGCAAAGGTTGTAAATGCGAGGACTGGTCGCAAAGTTACTTTTTCGTCACCGTCGTAACTGCAAATGGTCACTAAACAAGGACTAGCTGTACTGAATAAGTAGGAGAACATGCCCCCAACTTCATCCAATCCAGAATCCCAGTCTGCCCAGTTGCTTTAGTTAGGCTAAAACTTATACCTGTCCTTCTGTTGAAAATAGCCAGAGAACAAGATCTCCCTAAATGGATTATTTTTTAAAATTTACATCAGAAGAGGTCTGTGTTTGGGGGCACTTAAGCAGCAGGTTTTCTCAATCCACTTGCACACTCTCTACATCTGCTGTCTACCTCCTTTAGGGGCCTTCAGAGAGACTCTTTGGGCTCGAGTTCTGGTCATTTTAAGAGAAGTTATAGAAGAAACGATGACTGTTCTGTTATTTCCAGCACTTGTAGGTCACTCACCAAAACAGTAACCTTGAAGCCTGTTCTTGCCTGCCCCAGATCCTTTGCATTTGCAAATCTTTCATGGAGACCCAACCCAGGTTTACTCTTAACCTTGACAGCCAGCCTGGTTTGCATGTCTGAACGATTGGCTAGCCTTTGTCTACGATACAAGGTCTGCTCCTCCTTGGAGCTCCTGTAGCTTTTCAGCGTTGTGCCCAAGGAATGCGTGTAGCATTGTGTAAGCAGAGTTGGTTCAATTCCCACGGGATGATGATGATGATTTTGGTATCAGGATCCCCATGCTAGGGAAAGCATACTCTGAGCGCGCATGAACTCCTGCATCTCGTTTGTCCTCAGTCACATCTGACGTCCTCTTTCAAGCATTTCATAAATAAGGCGCACATTCCCAGGCTGTGTGCGAGAGCTGTTTACTTGCTGAAAGGTTTCTGACCATCTGGCTCTTCGAGCTGTTCAGATGACACTAGTAGCCGAGTCCGTTTGGCTGATGTGACTTCCTGGAAAACTCCACAGATTTCCTGCTCTTCCCTCTTTTTGTGGGGAAGGGTGGATTTGGTCTCTCTTTTTCTTTTCTTTTTTTTAAGGGTATTCAATTTTATATCCATAAAAGGTATACAGAAAGAATTACATATGTAATATAAAAAAAACATATCTACAGTATGTGTCAGTATAATATTTGCACGTTACTACATATAATTACATGTTGTTATACATAATTCTGTTGCCCTTTCTTGAAGAACTTTGGGCGGCACCATAGAATAACTTATTTGCTCTCACTATAACAATTTTAAGTAGGCTAGGCTGAGAGGGACATCTAATGCAAAGCCACTCAGTGCACTTCATTGGTAAACACAAAAAAACACATTCAGAATATTCCTTGGAGGCAGATACTCCACTTTTTACATTTTGGGGGGGTCGTTAAATTGAGCTGTGATTCCTCCTTGTTCCCTGAACAGTTGGAATGTTTATGAATATTCCTTGCCAACATACCAGCTTCAGTGCCGACAGAATAACAAGTTAGTGCTTACTTTAATTGTAGATGAATGAATTAAAATGTTACTGACTGATCAAAGGGAATAACTCTTGGTGGACTGCAACTCTTGCTAATCGCTGTTTTGCTTTGGGAACAAAGTCGGTTTCAATTCGTATTCATGTCTTAAATAGCAGATTTCAAAAAAGCTAGTTGGGGAGATTGGCTAATATCAGAAGTTATATTTAGTACATCATTCATCCAATAGGTACTATGCAATGTTATACTATCCGTGTTTATGCAGAAGTCCCGCCTGGGGTGTACTTCTGAATCAACACATGGAGAGTCACTTCTTTAACTACATTTTTGTTTTTTGCAGGGCACCGAGGAATCAGCCAAGTGGCAGCTAAAATTGACATAGAATTTGACTACGATGGGCCACTGATGAAGACCAAAGTCCCTGGACCGAAATCCAGGGTAAATTGATATGGGGAGGACCATCTTAATACTCCTCCCCTCCACCACCATCTCCAAATATTTTGAAAAAAGCACAAGAACCCAAACACTCCATAAGAGCCCTTCCCTGACCTCATGGTTGGACTTTAATTCCCATCACGTGCAGAGGAAAGCAGACGCTGGAAGACTGCTTTATCATTATAATCCCATTATATTTTTTAAAAAAATGATTCTAGTCCTTATGGATTTGGGATATACTTTAAATCATGATATTTCAATGTCCATTGCACTTCCCTGGGGTGAATAAAATAAAAAAGACTACAGAAAAACCAAAAAAGCTGAATAAATTATACTACCCCCCCCCCAAAAAACCCCCAAGAATTGGGTTGGTGTCACACCATCAAATGAGAAGCAAATGCGGCCATCCCCTTGAGGTGTGTGGGGCTATACTCCCATTTGCAACCAGCTGCTTGGGAATGATGGTACTTGGGAATCCAACACATTTTGAAGGTACCACAAAAAGGGGGTGGAGAAGGAAGGGAACCTCCCACCAACATCATACTAAGCTGTCCTGTGGTTTGCCTTTGTCTTAATGCACAGCCCCAGCTATTACAGTGGAGCATTATGTGTGATTCACACCAGTAGGGCTTCTCCAGTGTGCCACAGTTAAAAATGCTAACTTAGCATCATGTGTGAATGCAATCTTGGGCTTAAGAGATGCTTGTAAGTCGCAACCATAGATGAAACCTTGAGAATAAGCCCAAATGTCATATGTTTGAGCTGGGCAACCCTATCAATTGAATGAATGAATGAATACAAATACAGGTAGTCCTTGCTTAACGACCATCGCAAACCGTTGCACCACCCGCCTGCAGTCGTGTGATTGTGATTTGTGACCTTTTTTACAATGGTCATCAAGCGAATCGCATGGTTGTTAAGCGAATTCTGGCAGAAAAGTCCCTTGGAGAGCTGGATTTGTTTAACTACCACGTGATTCGCTTAATGACCGTGGTGATTTACTTAACAGCTGTCATAAAAATGGACATAAAATCGGGTCCAGTCATGTGGTGACTCGCTTAATGACTGCCCTGTTTAATGACCAATTTTCAGGTCCCTATTGTGGTCGTTAAGTGAGGACTACCTGTAAATAAAGCCCAAATAGGTTGAATTTTTTGCAGCTGAGAGGTTACCTTTCATTTAAATTAGCAAAGCTGACCATGCGGACACCATCATGGTCCCTTCTCTGGTTGGTGCAACACGGCACCAGGGTCTCAAGGCTTTTCCAGTGATTCAGAGCCTTGATCGTTATGGCAGCATTACCAAGTTTCACGGGCATCTTTCCTAACCCAGGCTGGAGATAAATCCTCTGTCTGTAGCACAGGAACATTTCATCTCCTCACTTTTCGACTGATTGATCTGTATAATGACGTTCTTTCCTTTCTTCTTCTTTCAGGAGTTAATGAAACAGTTGAATGGAATTCAGGTAACTTCTTCAGTTTCAACTTGAAAAAACTCCCAGGCCTTCTACCATTAACACAATGGCTGCTGAGTCACAAACTCGTATGAATGGCAGGCCGCCAACTTTTTGTTCTGTAAACTGGGCGCTTCCCAACACTGCTGGTGGAAAGGCAGAACTGTTCCAGGTGCTGTTCTTAGGGGCTTTTCTCCCCCAGTAAAGACTGAAGAAGTGATGGGAAAACTCAAGGGGGCTTCAAAAATGAGAGGCTGCTTTGTTCAGACCCCTTGAAAAATTCTGTAAAAGAGGCTTATATAACAATAAGGCAAACCTGGAATTCCCTTACCTTTCCTAGATAATTTTTCAATATAATAAAATGTACAAAACAGAAACAAAGATAGAAAACAAGAAATAGAAAAACAAGAGAGCACTTAAAAAAGAAAAGTAAAAACATTCAATTACGTCTTCCACTCTTCTTTCTGTCGAGTGGTTGTTACCTTAAACTTTTCCCCAACTTCTCTTCTCCTTCTTCAGTCCCCAAATCCCTTGTCTTTCCAAGACAAGCAGCTGTCACGCAGGCATGAAAAATTATTTACAGCAGCGGGAAACAGAGTTCCCCATTTTCCTCCCTGTCCAGCCTAAATCGTGGCTCATTTTGCCAATTCTTACCTTCTGCGTGGTGCCAGGAAATTTCAGCTTGTTTCCTCTGTTTCTGTCAGAACGCGGAAGCGGTCCACTTTTTCTGCAACTACGAAGAAAGCCGAGGAAACTATCTTGTGGACGCCGATGGGAACCGGATGTTGGATCTCTACTCTCAGATTTCATCCATCCCCATTGGTAAGAGCCACTTAGGGTGGTCCGCGTGGCTTCAAACCTCAGCTCCAGCAGGGATGGGCAATCATAAGCCCACGCCTCTTCTTTTCGGCCTCAGGAGCCCACACCGATGAAGCTTGTGCCAAATTGGAAGTGCGGGCAGGAAAAGCATAATTTCTTGGGCATCAAATGCAGAGAAGCAGGAGTGCAGATCCTAAGATAGGACATGCAGTTTTAAGAATAAAGAAGACTCCAAAAATTGTTTCAATTGATCAGGGGGGGAAATGGAAAAATCTCAGCTGTTATCAGATCTTTCCAACCTTCTCACACGTGCACATAGCCAGTTTTTTTTTTTTAATTCAGGTTAGTCACTCTTTGCAGCTGGCATTTCAAAGGGGAAGACCACAGTGAAAAGACAAAGGTGAGAAACGTCCAGAGCTGAGATTTTTCCAATTCCTTCCCCCCCCCCACTTGATATTTTGCATGGTTTCAAACCTCAGCTTGAGCAAGAGTGGACAATCGCAAGTCCAGACCTCTTCTTTTCAGCACCAAGAGCCCACTAGTATTTTTACTTTCTCACCTACTTATTTGAATTTATAAGCCGCCCAACTCTAAGGCGCTCTGAGTGGCATACAAAACTAGAAAAAAAAACATAAAAACGGGTTAAAAAAAACATAAAAACAGATAAAAACATTAAACCAGACAGACATCCCAGACAATACTTGATGGATGTGAAATGGAGCGAGGAAAAAGGAAAGCCTCCTTCAAGTTGAGCCCGACTCGGTTTTTCCATGGATATATTCATGTCATTTTCTAAGGAACAGTGTGGAAGGGGTTTCCCATTGCTGTTTATGTTGGTGTTTTGTTTTAATTTGCAGACTAATAACAGATCTGGATTTCCTGGTGGTGTCCCTTCTAATCAGGCCTGGTTTTTTGAGATTCTCCAAGTTTCACTGACACTATGGGACAAAGGAAAGATTTCTTGTAAACTTTACAGAAGTAATTTACTATGGCCTTCCTTCAGGGTGTTTTTTTCACCTCCCAGTCATAACCAGAACTGATCCTGTTTAGCGTCTAACCTGGAGAAGGTTAGCCAAATGCTACCACCTCCTAACACTTTGTTAAGCTATAAACCCAAATGTATCACTATTCACCATTTCTCTTAAAAGCAAGTTTCTTGGTGTCGAAGATCCTCCTTACTCCGTTTACATTCTTAAAACAAATTCAGAACGGGCTGGTTCTGCTTCTCAGCAGCACTCTAAAGAGGTTACCAAATTTAATTTGAAAGCTGCTGAAATTTCTTGAAAGCGGATGATAAAGGTCCCTCTGTTTCATTCTAGGCTACAACCACCCATCTCTGATCAAACTTTTGCAACAGCCCCAGAATCTGGTAAGTAACCTTTTGCATAAGGTACCAAGTTGCCAAAGTAAAAGCCACTTATGTTGAGATGTTTCTTCATCACCTGCCTACATATCCCAACACAAGCCATACACCACTTTTCCGTGTCCAAGAAAGGGCAAAATCAGCGGAATTTAATTCAGCTTCAAGGTAAACGCAAGTGTATTTAGTCTGGACTTGATTAATGCCATTGCATAGAGTACTCTGTATTTATTCTTCTCTTCCACTGCATTAAAAAAAAAAAACAATTGGTGAGATTATGGAAAGCTAAAATTCTTGGAAGGAATTCTCTGTGGCCATGAAGTCAAAGGTGGAAGATGATAGCAGGATGCCTTGCAAATAAAACCACCTCCTTTATCTCAGATTTTGGCCACCACAACAGGCACTTTAGGAAGGCACCCGAGGTTTCTTGCTCTCCCTTTGCCTCTGGAAATGCAGGACATTCAGTAGTCCTTCAGTGGGCCATGGAGGGCATGGGACCCTCCTAGCCACTCCCAGCTGTGATGCTGATCATAATACTGTGATGGTTTACTGTATTAGTATTGCTGATATAGTTGATAACATTTATGATTATTGCACTGTTGAGGACGTGTATGTTGCTGCTTGGGGGCAGAATGATAAAAACTGTTTGTCACGAATAATGAAGAAATAAGGTCACCCTGTCTGTGAAGTTGCCCTTCCTCTCCCCAAGACCCCAGAGTTTTCTCTGTATGTCCATGGCAAGATGGGTCTTTCTTGACAAATGAGGCAAGGATGGATCAAAAGGAATAGTCTTGGAGGCCCAGCAAAACCTGGTTAATTTTTAGACATAAGTTAAACCCAACCAATGTTCTAGAGCAATGTTTCTCAACCTTGGCAGCTTTAAGATGCTGTCTGGGCATTTCTGGGAGTTGAAGTCCACACTTCATCTCAAAGCTGCCAAGGTTGAGGAACACTGTTCTAGAGGTCACAAAGAAATATGTTCAGAATCACAGATATATATCTAGAGGACACCAAAGCATCTCAGTAGCCAGTAGTATCCATTCCCCATCTTCAACTTCTCTCAAATATTTGCCATGCTAGATAAATTCTGATGCCAGAAACAGCCTGGTTGCATTATGGGTTTTGGGGAAGGGTGGTTGCAAGTGTCAAAATTGGGGATGTTCTTTGTTTAAGTCAATCAAGGTCAACCCAAGCATTGTTTTCAGTTGACCCTTAGATAAGAAGGTTTTATTTCAATCATGTTGAAGTCCTCTTCTCTTCTCTTCTCTTCTCTTCTCTTCTCTTCTCTTCTCTTCTCTTCTCAGAGTACTTTTGTCAACAGGCCTGCCCTAGGAATTTTGCCCCCAGAAAATTTTGCTGAAAAGCTAAAGGAATCTTTGCTTTCGGTAAGTTTTGTCTAGCAGAGAAGGAGCAATGGAATTGACATCTAGCGTTGGCAGGTCTCCATCCTGCCAAGAATTCCACTTCTTCTGCAGCCTTAGGGATGTGAAGGGCACACAAAATAGAGGTGGGGAAGCACCTTGGTGTAGGAATGCTGAAATACATTCCTGTGGTGACCGGATAAATCCCAAGGATAAGGAACGTTACTGCTCATTCAATACAAGAGTTTTCAGAATGGTTTCAAAATCATCAAAGTCTGCTGCTGGAGGTTGGGGAAGTTGTAGCTCTCTAGGGTTGGAGGCACCTTAAAACTTCTTTCTTTTTTTAAGGGGGAAAAGGGGGAAATGAGCAACAGAAAGACACATCATTTTAGCATTCCTGGAAGGCTGAAATTCTAAGATTAAAGTTTAAAGCACATGTAGTATTCCTCACTGCTACTGCAATGGGAAAAATTACCAGTTCAGAGATCTGCCACCTTCTATTGATACCCTGGGCAAAAGGGAGTCCCAGTTCAGAGGAATTTCAGAGCTCAAGCCAACTTCTTATTTAGAATTGTTTGATCACAAACTGAATCGAAGTCAGTGGTGTGAAAGTGTGGCTGTAAAAAAAACATTACTTCAGTGCTGAGGCTGCATCATTGTAGGAAGTGAGAGTTTTGTTCTGTTCTGCATTGGCCAGATTTCCCCTTGAATAAATGTGTCCAGTTTTGGGCGCATGTTTTAAGAAGGATTCAGACAAGCTAGAACAGGTTCGGAGAAGAGCAATGAAGATGATCAGAGGACCGGCAACCAAGTCCTACAAGGAGAGGCTGAGGAAACTGGGTAGGCCTAGCAGTAAAAAAGGACAACTGGGATAGGGGAATGATAGAACTCCTCAAGAACCTGAAAGGATGCCACATAGAAGAAGACCACTATGAGTTCTCCGTTTATCCCAGACTGCAGGATATGGAATAATGGATTTAAGTTACACAAAGAAAAGTTTCGTAAGAATGAAAGCAATTCAGCAAGGACCTTGGAGGTGATGGACCTTCTTCTCAGGACCAAAGAGAAGTTGGACTGCCATCTGTTGGGGATCCCTTATTTTGGATTCCTGCCTTGGATAGCTGGTTGGAGTCAATTGGCTTAAATGGCCCCTTCCAACTCTAAGATTCCATAATTGTATCCATAGGCAGTAGAGGGTAATTTTAAAAATTAGGGGGGTTAAAATAAGCATCATTTTGTTGTGATGTACATTTATGATGGAGGTGTTCCTTACTAACTGTTTGAATTGAAAGGTCTGTGTCTCTTCTCCACTGCCAGGTGGCTCCTAAAGGTCTCTCTCAAGTAATAACCATGTCCTGTGGATCTTGCTCTAATGAAAATGCCTTTAAAACCATATTTATGTGGTACAGGGTAAGTAAAAGCTATATGAATGCTCTGCCTTGTACAGATGCTCTCCAGATGCTGAGGAAAACAGGGAGGGCTGTCTTTGCTCCAAGCAGGGGTAGGGGGCCCTCAGTTTAATTTCAAAATCTCTGTATGTCAGCACTTAGACCTTGGATCAGTGATCAGTTCCTTGACCCGTTCTGCTTGATTAATCTGCTGAATAGACAGCAGATCAGTCAAGCAGGAAAGGAAGGGGAAGGGGAAGGGAAAGGAAGGTGCAGAAATATGGAGAGGAAAAGAGGGTTCCTGTCCCCCTCCCCATGTCTGACTTGGAGCTCTACTAATCCTCATTTAGGGTTCCACCACTTTTGGTTTAGATCTTGCCTATTCATAGCCATGGGCCCTGATAGATTCTGTGGAATGAGGGCCCCAAGGGAAAAGAAATGTCTCCATTCCAGAATTAAAAGGATCTCATTTCATAGAAAGTTCAAGAGGAGCTCCTAAAAGAAGTCCTCAAAATTGCTGTCTAGCAGAGAATAGTCATATAGTCCACATGAGGGGATGGTTGAGATGGTCAGGCTTTTTCAGTCTTGGGAGATCCTTTTTAGTCATGCTTCCCATCTGCTGAGACTGCCCCAGTAGTCCTGGGAAATAAGTCCAGGAAGTAGATGGGAAAAAGAATCCATTTTGGTTCTTCTCAAATGGATTAAGTATTTAAGCTATTTAAAGCTATCAACTATGACATTCTTCTCGGATGGAGGAGGGACACTCTTGTTTCCTCTAGTTCCCGTTCTCCTTAGGACATTGGTATAGGGAGACTGTTGAATACCATAACCATTGGCATACTGCCATCTTCCCTGAATCATGCCTGTTGGATGGCAACTCTTGACTGGGAAGATTATGGGAAACTTCTTTATTTTCCAGAACAAAGAAAGAGGACACAACAGTGTTACCAAAGAAGAGTTGGAGACCTGCATGATTAACCAGGTAAGACATTCCTTCATTCAGCAGAGCAAAAGCCACATCAAATCCACATTCTGTGTGTGGGGCAGTGGTTCCTGCTTACGTTTGCACCTGACCAACAAGTCAACAAGCTACTGAATTTAGAATGTGAGGACAAGCTACACACTTTGCAATGGCAGAGGACTGGCAGCGAAAAAGACAACGTGGACTGAGTAGTAGTTAGCACAATGCTGCCACGTTTTGTTGTTTTCACTCCAGTTTCCTGATTACAAACATCTCTGTGTTCAAACCCTCACTCCTGCATTCCTGCGTAGTGGATGTCACTTACGTAAAAATCAGCCCTTTTTTAACCCCACAGACCCTTTCCTTGCATCATCTGCTTAGAACTTTGCTCATTCTTTAATCCCTTTCACAACTCAGTTTCATCACAGAATCTGATGGCATCGGTTTCATAATCCCTTACATCAGTTTTGCAAACAGATAGTAAATGCTGCAGCTCGATTTTCCCTGCTTACGCAAGGAAAGTCCATTTTTCCCCACGGTGTTTCACCAATAAAACTGAGAACAGCTCAAGTTTTTTATACATTGTTCTCAGTCGCGCATGAAGGTCCCAAGTGCCAAAGGGCCTGTCCTAAAAACATTCAGAGAATACAACAGATTTTATGAAATAAAATAGTATGAAAAGGGCGGGAGAGCTTGTATCATGGGTTCGATGTGTAAAATCTTTGCATTGCCAGGTTTTAACTTCTGTAGATTGACCTTTAGGATTCTGGAATATAAAAATAAAAGCTAAGTCATCAATACCTGTCCGTGAAGGATATTTTTCCTGCTTACTCTTGTTCTCCAGAGCTCCCTCTATTGCTCCAGCATCAATGAACTCTTCTGAAGTGAAGTGATGCTTCAATTCAAATGCTAGAATCAAACTGAACATCTCTAAATCAGTCCCACTCAGACCAATTCAGACCTATTTTGCACCTCTAAGTGGCTGAATTCTCTAAGCCAAATTGACGTGATTTGAACAAATGTTGCTTGAGAGGTATGAAGAAGATCAATTTCCCAAACAAACAGTTTGAATCAGATTATTTGAATCAGGCTGGACCAAATCTAAAAAAATCACATAATAAAGAACACATTTTCAAACCAGCCTTTCTGCTAAAAAATAACCCTCCTGTTTCTCTATTTCTAGCTTTACTTCTGATGATCCTCCCACTGAAGTCTTAGTGTGGTTTGTCTAAACCGAGAAAGATTTAAAGTGTTAGCTGTGTACAATTCATCTATTATTCTTTTGTTTCATTTATCTTATCTTGGACCTTGTTTTATTTCCATGCTTTATGTTATGTAAAGCTGGTCAATGTCCAGAATAAAGATTGGGCCACTAGAAAACTGAGGGCGGATGGATGTCGCCAATTGTTTCTTTTATAGTTAAATTTCAAAAATATTTTAAACAACAGGCAAGCACTATGGCCAGGGAAGAATGCTTTCTCCAAGTTGGGATGCGATGCAGTGACCCAGATGTGAGGGCCAGAGGGCAGCCCCATCACTTCCTGCAGAGTCAGCAACACCCCAGCATCTTTAATCAGGAAGCACAGGGCCATTCTGGAGGAATGCTTGGTGGCCTCGAAAGGGCTAATGATCGAGGTCAACCTAGGACCAGGAAGGTCCCCATTTCACCTCCTGCTCAGCCATAATGTGAAGGAATGGTTGGATGAAGGCCGTGCTCGAGGAGATAAGCATTCCCTTAACCCTCAACAGGAGCGTGGGAATGCTTATCTCCTCGAGCGCGGCCTTCATCCAACCATTCCTTCACACATGAAGCCCTCTGGATGGCTTTGGGCCAGTCACTCCTAGCCTAACACTACCCCACCAGGTGGAGTCTATGAACACCTTGAACACTATGAACACCTATGAACACTTGAAGAAGAGCGAAATAAAACTGCATCTTGATGGATCATTTTTCTTGGTTTTTCAAATCTGCTACGTGTGGGTTTGATTGCCAGCACCCTGAATTAATGTTCTTCCTAGAGGAGGGCTATCTCCTAAAAATGCAGTAGAATTGAAAAAATGAAATAAAATAAGTTCTCCTCCACCCGGATAGGCTAGGTCATTCCGGCTAGCATTGCTGTGGGGACAAGGCTGCCCCCTAATGACCAAATCAAAGCAAGCAACAGTATTAATTTCCTCTTTGCATTTCAGCCACCAGGTTGCCCGGAATACAGCATGCTTTCCTTTATGGGCGCATTTCACGGGAGAACCATGGGTAAGGAAGAGTTTCTGTTTTTTGTTGGAAGCAGCATTATAGACAAGCTTAGATGATCAGTGAGATGGCTCGATCGAATATGTGCCATCAACTTGGTGTCAAATAAGCCCTAATATTTCAAGAGCTTTCACTCTTAACTCAGCGGCATTTAGATCATCCACAAAGCTGTGTTGGGGGCATTGGGGGCAATTAATGTATAGACAGAAGTCTGCCAGAGAAGTCGTGCGCAGAAAGGAGAAAGGTCTGAGGCGTCTACCATCCTCCTATGCTATTTTCCTTCTCTTCTCTTCCCTTCCCTGCCCTTCCTATCCTGTCTTATAGAATAGTTCTAGATCAGTGTTTCTCAAACTCGGCCACTTTAAGAGGTGTGGACTTCAACTCCCA